GTGTGGGGGGGGGGGGGGGGGGGGTGGTATTACCAAAAAGGGTATTTTGGTGAAGCTGAAACATTTGGGTGGTCAGGGAAGCCTGAATTGTGGGAGACCCATTTTCATGGCTGTAGGCTGTCTGATATGAAGTGACTTGGGATAAAGAAACACTGTTCTGAATTAGACAAAGCACAGCCTTGAATTGGAGTTCCCACAGCCAGGGCCGTCCGGGGTGGGGGGCCAACTGGGGTGCCCGCCTCTGGCCCCGTGCTTTGGGGGGCCCCATGGAGCCAGGCAGAGCAGCGGCGGCGTGGAGCTGGGCGGAGCAGTGGCTCCGTGTCCAGCTGCTTGCTACCCCTGCCTCCCCGCCAATGCTGCCGATGGCGGTGGCAGCTTCTTTGGGTCTGGGATTGGAGCAGGGGCGGGGGGGCCCTGCATGGGCTGATTTGCTCCAGGCCCCGCACCCTGCTCGGGTCACCTCTGCCCACAGCCTAGGCTGGTAGCCAGATTAGCAGCGGCATTCATTCATCTACTTTTCTCCCAAAACAGATATTTTCATAAAACCATCCAGAGAGTTTGGTTTTTAATTTTGGTTTTGCTTCACATTAGAAGTGAAAAACCTGGAAGATGCTGTGAAATGGGATGGTCGTCTTCTCTGTCCACCCTACTTGTATATGATCCCACTAAAAAGTCTACCTGGAAGAAGACTTGTGTTAGCTGCAGACAACCACAGGGCAAGGCTTCCTCCATGTTACTCTCACTAGATTTAAATGTTTGTGTAGCAATAGTTCCTTCTTCCACCGATTCACTAACTGCTCTGTTGAGACAGACAACTTGAATATATTCCAATAAGAAATATATTCCTTACCTGCCACATCAGTAGCAACCAGTATTGGGATTCCCTTTTTCTTAAATTCTGAAATGACTTTATTCCTTTCACTCTGGTCCATATCGCCATGAAGGAGGCCTAGATTATGACCCTCCTGCTTGAGATTATTGGCTAGCTCTTCTGCATTTGCTTTCTTGGTGACAAACAGGAGAACACTCCCAGAAGAAGTGAACTCCACCAGGCGTCGAGTCAGCCAGTTCCACTTGGTAGGGCCAGAGAGGAAAATCTCTACAATCTGAGTAACATCTTCATTTGCCTGTTGGGAGGAGCAAGAAGGCAAAGTTATCACCTTGCATGCTGAAGCAAGCATGAGGCAGACAAGGAACGCGATGCAGGGATTCAGACTGGGGCAGTAGGCTGAAGTGGGTTCACTTGGAAAAGTTCCATTTCAATTTGTATTTGCTTCTCCTGCCTAACCCCCAAATACTTTATCCTAATAGTGCATGAAGGCAAGGATTAACTGAGCTACTCTTCCATAAACCTAGGAAAAGCAAAGGATACACTTTGCCATGATGCCTTTTAATACCCTACAATAGGGGTTCTCAAACTGTGATACCACGACATCTCGGCAGCCAGCAGCTTAAAAGTGGTTTGCAAACTTCTTTTCCCTCCCTAGAAGTGGTGGTGCGGGGGGCAGGGCCACTGCTGCACACCGCTTCCCTGTGGCTAAGTCGGCCACCGGGGGACCTCACCCCACCCCACTTGTTGACTGGCCGGACACGGCATGGGAGCAGCGCACAGTGCACAGTGGTGGCATGGAGTGCTGGATGGCGACAACAGCCCTGCCCCCCGTGCCACTGCTTCAAGGGAGGGAAGAGGTGGTGCTCTCCCCTACCCTGGGGGTCTTCAAGAGGAGGCTGGATATGCATCTAGCTGGGGTCATCTAGCCCCAACCCTCTTTCCTGCCTATGCAGGGGGTCGGACTCAATGATCTATTGAAGTCCCTTCTGACCCTAACATCTATGAATAAGAAGTTTGCATCCCACTTTAAATTGCTCGTGACCCCACCAGTTTGAGAACTCCTGCCCTACAGATTTAAAAGAGCATATTTGCTGTTTCCATCCAAATATGAGTGATTTTACTAACATCTACAAGGGCCAGACTAAGAGTAGGGACAAACGGACCTTTGCAGCTGCTTCAGAAAAAGGAAAGGGAGGAGTGTGCAGAACATGTTAGGGTATGTTACATCTGTCTGAGTGATACAAATGAGTTATATCGCCCTAACTTAGACTCTGCATGAGGCAGGGCTAAAGTTGAAGCAGTTCTCCTAGACTTGTAATACTACAGGTTCATGCACATTTAACAGCTCCCCAAGCAGCGGCTTCCCTCTCTGCTTTTGAGGCAGTTACAGATGTATATTTGTCTATAGTCCAAGCCAGCAAAGGACCAGGGACAAGGGGATAATCTGGTCTAAGGATATTTAGGGGGAAGGCACTTATCAGAAAAATCACTTGTGCATAACCTGAAGAAGAAACCTCCAGGACCTATGACGTTTCAGTTGAAGCAGGGTAAAGCACAGTGTTTGTCAGGTTCAGGAGCTGAAAGACGGTGAACAACACTATTTTGGGCTCCTTAGATTTTTCCTTAGTTGCATACGTTCTGATATATAGCATTTCACACTTTCAAAACATAGTAGTAATTGTGCCCAAAAGAAACCAGAACATTCTACAACAACAGAAGTAAAACTGCCTGACAAATATCACAGGCTGCTTACAGACATTAAAAAATAAAATAAAATAAAATAAAATAAAAAAATTAAACAAACAACCCCCCTGTGCTTTACCAGAAAAGCAGTGCATTAGGTCGACTCAGCTCCACAGTGTCTATATAGATCAGGCACTTCAGCAGGGCTTTTTGGCACTTATCTAAAGCTGATTCAATCAGCTATTAAATAAAAGCATCAAAAAGCCCTGCTAAAGTGCCTGATCTATGCAGACGTTGGGTGAGTTGGGTCCAACTATTGTGATGCCTCTTCTGGGTATGTGCTGGGCTTGGTGCAGGAGCATGCTGAGTTTAAAGCTCTGTTCTTTTGGGGGTTTTTAACATCTGTAAGCAGCCAATATGACTTCTTTCCTCAAAAGCAAAACACTTGCCTAGCAAGCTGAAAACCCAAGGCCTGGATCAGCCATTAATTATTTTATTAATATAACATAAGGTGTGATGAGTGATGCCATTTGAAGCAAGAGAGACAGGTTTCCTTTAGGGCATGACTGTTTTGAAAGTGACCTGTCAAATAATAAAATTCCTTAGCAATTTTCAAAAGTGAATATATTACCTGCAAAATTTCTTCAGAACACATATATACCTCTCACTTTATTGAACAATTTAGCTAACATATAGCTCATATACTGTCACCAAGCAAAACTGTAATAAAAATCCCTACATAAGCCAGCTGGAAGCCATTATATCAGTTTCATGAGCAGCCTTAATTGCAACATCTGTGCAAAAATTCAATTGATCATTTATGGTTTCAAGGCAAAGCACAGGAATTTATCCATGCGATTCCCAGACTGACAGAAACAAAACTATTGAACTAGCATGGACAGAATTAAAATTACCTGTGCATCCCCCCACTGACGGAATTAGATTGATTCTAACTTCTTTCTTAAAGTTGATTAGAAGAAAATTTGACAATGTTTAGATAAGAGGGATCTAAACCTTTAGCAAGTCACCAGCCTTACTAATGAGCTAAAAGTATTTTGACAATAAGAGACTGCAGAGTACATGAAGCCCTGTTTCTATCTAAGCTAAAGACAAAGCTCTCATTTGAGCAGCACTGCATCGTTAAATAGTATTCTGAGATAAGATACAGCAACTGGAAGAGGATGCTATTATGGGTTTAATGCTACTGTGCTTTTAACTGCACAACTGTAAACCACAGACATGCACATTTACACTTGCCTGGTCTGGTGTAAGCTGTATTTGGAACATAAGTAAAATCAATAAAATAAATTGCAAACAACAGGAACACATTTAATTTAACAATCTGAGTAATTTTCTTGGGGGGGGGTTATTTGCTTTTTCTTTTTTTTTTTCTTTTTCTTTTTTTGGGACTTCAGAGTAAACATTATGACATTGGCATTGGTTCACCCATTGATAACTTCCATTACTGAGAGATTAAAAGTCATTGCCACAAATGTAGGCTAGAAACGTGTAAAAACGTTTTTTTAAAATGAATAATTATTTGCTTTTTTATTCAAGAACACAAGCTATTTCATCACAGAATTCATCAAATTCATCCCAGCATTCTCCTTCAGAAACAAAGCTGTGAAATTACCTCTCCAATGTCTCCCTGAACCACTCGAATTGGGTCGATCAGGATATCTCTTGCCAATTTCTCAATTTTCTTTCGGAAAGTAGCACTGAACAAGAGAGCTATAAAGAAAAGAATATTTTAAGGCTGAATAAGTTCCCTTTCTACATGAAAAGACTTTATAGGTCTTACAGATAGATTTTATAGAGAAGAAATATAAGAACAGTTCTGGGTAATAGGGATTCTAAGTTATATTCTATTTTTACCATATTTAAAGCAAATCTCTGTTCAATCTCCTAGCAGAAATACACATCAAGCACATACATTTAATAAGATCACTCTAAATAGACAGGAAACGCTAAAAATAAGAGTATTTATTTGATGATCTAAAAAGATTGTGAGAAAAGAATGTAATGGTGCTTCATACTCCTATGGTGGTTCTCATCAGAAAATCAAAGCACATTCCTATATTAAATTAATTAATAAAATCACCTTGGACTTCAGTACTTTACACAGAAGGGTCAAAAACTGAAGCCGATTTTCATAAGTGCTCAGCATGCAGCAGCTGTTACTGAGAGTAATGGGAGCTGCTAAATGTTTTTAAAAATCTAGGCTTAAGTGATTTATCTAAAATAACAGCATAATTCAGAGACAAGGAACTATGCAGAGAAAGAGGATCTCCGAGCCCTGGCTCCAGAACCCTTGACTCAAAACTACTAGATCTCAAAAAACCTCTTCTGAGTTTTCCTCCTGCCCCCAAGGCAGTTGTTTTGAAGCATAGTTGTACTTACTTTGTCTGTCAGGACGCACATGGCTGGCGATCGATCTGACCTGGTATTCTACGAAAAAGAAAGTGCATCATATAGAATTTAGCATAATTTTGTTAACCACTAGAAGGAAATTTAGTCAAGACTGCTGAGCATACAACAGATTAAAAAAAAATTAAGAACTGGCCATAACAAACTGAAGTCTAAAGAAGATTGCATTCCATTAAGGCCCACTGTAAAACTTGCTGTTCAGAAAACAGCTCATTCCAATTACAGATAGGCAATTTTCAAACCAGATCATTAAATAGATGGAGGAAGGAGTACATGCTTTATGTCAGAGAGAATAGATACTTTGGCTCTGCTATGAGCACCTGTTTTCTTTATGCCTCTGCTTGTAAAACAGCATTATAGTTTTTGAGGAGGTCTATTGATTTTCTATCCTGAGGATTAGCACTACCCAAGTGTAGAGCTAACATGGGATACAGGCCAAACACTGCTGCCAAAAATGAGGGTACCATGGAGGTCCAGTGCCCAAGGTCCTTCTACTCCCAACTCTGAGTGACCCTAATACAATAGTCAATGGCTGGAGATGTTGGGGCATCCATCTCTGACTGGGCTGAACAAGAAAAGAGACTCCATGCCTTGAAGTCCCAAAACAAAAGCAGAACAAATAAGAATTATTCCAAGATGAGGTGCGTACTTTTTTTTTTAAAAGTTACATCAAGTCATTCTTCCCAAATGATTATGGAAATGCACAAGTACAAAATTTTCTATTTTCTATTTCTAACATATGTTATATGTTTCTATTTATGATGGTCTTTTTTCATCTGGTCAAACTCACAAGTAGAATTTTGAGGCTGTTGTAACCAATATTCTGCTTAACTTTATGCACTAAATCTAAATTGCTGGCAAAATAGCTCAGATAGCAACTTCAAAGCTATCATATTCAATATTTAGTATTTCACCTTCCTTGAAATGGTGGTTATTGGCACTCAGACAAACAGGCTGAAGCGCCTTTCTTATGTAACTGACTTCCAAGCTGTATATAGTTACTAATGAAATGCTTTCCTCCACTTCGGTGTGTTTTCTCTCATGCAAAGTCCAAGCTATCAAGGCACTGGGCTTTTTTAAAAGAAGATGAAGCCATCTGCAAATTCAAAGACATTAGGTAATCCAACACAGTACTTTTGTGAAGTACGCATCTGTTGTTATGGTGACCCCAATTTTATACTGCAGTGCTGCAGCCCACAGTCAGAGATAAAAATTAGGATCAGAACCCAGGAGTTCCTGAAACCTATTCCCAGTGTTTGTTCTGTTAGGCTTCACTAGTCCCTTCACACTTATGGCAATAGGAGAGGAACTTTAAACACCAGCCGCCAAAAAGTTCTGTCCATGTAGCCTTTTGACGACGAATACCTATGTTCTGTTAAGCTACAGGAGTTCTAGACAGTCAAATCAGCTTGACCACTGAGCACCAGTACTTTAAAGCATTGCGTAGAGGTTTTTTCTCAGTACGTACCGAAACCCATATCAAACATTCGATCTGCTTCATCAAATACAAGATACGAGACCCTCTGAAGATTGGTAGCTTTCTTCTTCACATGATCAATCAAGCGACCCTATCAAAAACAAAACATTCAAACCCACAGCATGTAAGCATAACGTGGTATTTTGAATATCAACTACATGCATCTGGCTTTGGAATTTAGTCCTCACCCAGTATAAATAATCTTAATACAAAAACAGAGGCTCGCAACAGAAGATAGCACTAATGTACACATTATATATACACAAATCAGTGGAAAGAAGATTCTAAATGCACTCAGTGACTGCTCATGTTAACACTATATTTGATGTGTAGATTTTCACAAGAACATTTGGACACAGGTAATTAAACCCTTCAAATGTCATAGGTTCATAGATGTTAGAGGCTGGAAGGAAACTTACAAGATTATCAGGTACAGCCCCCCTCTAAGTCTTCTCTTCTCCAGGCTGAACAGTCCCATGCCTTTCAGCCTTTCTTTGTATAACCTGCTCTCCAGACCTCTAATCATGTATGTGGCCCTCCTTTGGATTCTCTCAAGCTTCTCCACATCCTTCCTGAAGTGCACCGCCCAGAACTGGATGCAGTATTCCAGCTGCAGTCTCACCAGGACTGAGTAGAGTGAGGGGATGACATCCTTAGTCTTGCTTGAGATGCACTGGTAGATGCATGTCAGTGTTTGATTTGCTCTGCCAGCTACAGCATCACATTGGTGGCTCATGTTTATACTGTGGAATACTGACGTGAAGTATTAATTTAGGAGTTCAGTTTTCCCCTGAGTGTCGCTTATCAGTTGTCCCATTTCCTTCATCAGGGACCCCATGCTTCCCTTATTTTGTCTCTGACTTCCTCTGACTTCCAAAAGGAGGACTTTGTTGTCCTTGATTCCCGTTGCCAATTTGAATACGGTTTCTGCCTTTGCCTTTCTAATCTGCTCCCTACAGGTGAGGGCTATTGCTGTGTACTCCTCTTTGGTGGTAATTTCTGACTCCCATCCCTTATAAGCTTCTCTTTTCAATTTCAGTAGGTCCACGACTTCCCTACTGAGCCAAGGGGGTCTCCCAGCCCTTTTGCTGCTATTCTTACTAAAAGAAATGGACTTTGTGCTCCTAGGATTGTTTTCTTAAGGAATGACCACTCTTTTCGTAATCCCACAGTGCTAGGTTTCTTCTCGTGGTACTGCTGGGGCTCCAGCACTGTGGCTCTTACCCAGATATTTGGCTGCTCCCATAGGGCGGCCAATACCCTGGGTTTTTTTTCAGTCCCTCAATAACTGGTCCAAGAACTGCTCACACATTATCTTCAACCATGACATCTACAATAAACAGCTACTGCTGTGTTTCCTTTGGTTCATCCTCCTGCTGTACTCCCAGTTTTCCCTGCTACCCAATCTTCATCATCAAAATGTAAACCACTGGAATTGAATATATTTTTGACATGCGGTAACTGACCCTCCAATTCTTCCCTTCCAGACATCAGCACAAACTATGTGGTTGAAGGTTATTCAAATTGTGCCTAAAGATTCAAAATAATTGGCTGTTTATAACTGATAAGCAGTGAAACAAGTTGACACTGGTGCCTTTTTAAATTACTATCGTCAGATTTTTGAGTTAGTATTCTACCAGAATCACATGTTTACACCCCTCAGTATTGCTGTAATGCACTTTGAAGATTCAGGAAGTCAGCACTCAAGTTGGCCACATTTAGAAAATGTTGGTTACAGTGTTAGGAATTAGTAATTGAGTGCTGGTACTATACCACTCCTATTGAATCAATAATCAATCCTATTAATTCAATCTTTTCTCTCTCTTATTTAAAGATTATGCAAGCAACATTAAGAGGACAAGGTGTAAAGCAGTGGCCTCCAACCTTTAAGTAGGAGATCACCTTTGACATTTAAAGCAACCCAAGATCTACCATGCACTGCCACCACCCCTCCCCCATCGACTAACCTGCTGGGTTGGGGTGCGCATGTGCATGCACATGGACACTCAGCCCCCTCCCTCCCCACCCTCAGATTGACTCCAAGAGGCTCCGAGATCTACTGGTGGATCGAGATCCACTGGTTGGTGACTGCTGATGTAACCAATCACAGAGCAAGTTCGTTATGGTTCCCCATAATTCTCTGGTATCATCATACCACAGTTTGCCAGTGTCATCAGAAAAAACACATTCTGTCAGCATGGGAGGTACTCACTGGTGTGCAGACCACTATCTCCGCTCCTTCCTGCAGAGCCTTCGCTTGTTCCCACATACTTCCACCACCGTACACTGCTACGGAGCGTAAGTTATATGCTTTACCAAAGCGCTTGCATTCTGAATGGATCTGGAAGTTGTAAACAAGACAAAACACAACTCAGTTTTGTGAGATTCAAGAAGAGGGTGCCTCTTTTTTGAGAACATGATTCAGTTCTTCTATTCCACTGTCATAGACCAGGGCTTAATGTAACTCATGAAAATATATTAATCACTCTCAAGATTGAGTTTTGCTCTCTTACACATAATCTGCTACATCCAATATCTTCCATGGGAGGCCAATCCATGCATCCAACTGCAAAATTTGATCCAGAATATTTGTCACACTACAAACATGAACCCCAAAAATGTCCCATAAGGTGCATATTGGATATAAAATGTTCTACTGTATTCTCATTAAAACATAGGAACAACACTGGGATACTGCAAAAATGGCCAAGAGTTGGAAGAAAGTGGTGGGCACCAGTGAGCAGAAGGAGGATAGTAGAAGTTACAACTGTACCTGCTGGGATTGAGCTGGACAGGGGAAGATATGATGGGAGGGGGGGAAGAAAAATGTCAAGAGGCACAGAAGGGTTACACAGGAGATATGGTCAGTGGACACCTGACAAGGCAGCTATCCCAAATAATAACTGGACTGATACATGAGGCAAGGCAAATGTTGCACTTAATGTTTTGCACGTAACTGGAAACAAAATGTCCAATCATGAGGGGTGTCATTAAGACACTTCTGTCACGGTCAGACCATTATCTTCTATAGGTCCAGACCCCTATTCCCCAATGTTTCAGCTAGGTGATGGACCAGTTAGGTTGGTCTGCCCCTACAGACTCATGGAGTTGGTCAGATTCCAGAATTCTGGGGGACATTCACACTGACCTTAATTCTCACTCCACCAATGGCCTTGCCAAACACTGTAAGAGCACAATTACCTCAGTTAGACACAGTGGCACCAAGGCATCTGCATTCCCACTGCTGCAGTGGCACAGATCCCCCTTGCACACAGGGTAAATGAAATACACTCAAGGGTAGGCAGTTAGAATGCAGGTGGCTCTTTCTTGACCCATGCCAAAGCCAAACGGTTGCAGCACAGATTATTTTTAAAGGACTATGCCACAGGTGCTCAACCCCTGGTTTACAAGCCAAATCCAGTCCATGCAGCTATGTCATTGAGCCTATTGTGCTCCCCAAAGGTCCAAAAAATTTGGCAGCGGGGGGAGTGGTGGAAACGTTAATTGCTACTGACTTGCTGCCAAATTTCTGGACCTGTGGGGAGCCTGATGATGAGCCAGCTAGCACAGTGACGGGACGGTAATGGGCCGAATTCAGGTGGGTAGGGATGGACCAAGGTAACAGCATCTTCAAAGTGCTACCTGGCAGAATGGTTCTGGCTGAGGAATGGCCTGCTAAATCCAGGTCATCTCTGCCTGGAAACGGGAGTAATTCACAGTCCACTGTGATAGGTATTGCCACCTTTGCA